AAGTCCGGGGAGAGCACATTATTAACCCGAACACGGAAATGTCTGTCGGTTAAAAAGTTCTTAATGAAGGATGGTAGACTGCCTCGAAGGCCTAAGGAGTGGGCTTGGGCCAAAATATTATACCTTCAAGTTGTGTCATATGCCTTCTCAAGGTCGAAAAATATAGCAATAACTGAGTGGTAATTCGCAAAGGCATTACGAACATACGTATCCAAGCGTAGTAAGGGGTCTATGGTAGAACGGCCCTTACGAAAGCCATATTGACGAGTGGAGAGACTTGTGTGTCTCTAAATACCACACTAAACGTCTATTTACCAGGCGTTCCATCACTTTGCAAACTGCACTGGTAAGAGCAATGGGACGATAGTGGGAGGCTTCATGTCCCGTAGTACCCGGTTTGCGGAAAGGGAGAACAATGGCAGATTTCCACAGCTGTGGAAGAACTCCGTGACCATATAAGATTGAAAAGGTGTAATAGGACTGCAAGGGCTGACTGATGTAAATGTTGTAGCATACGAATATGAATGTCGTCAGGCCAAGCTGCTGATGATCGGCAAGCTGAGAATGTTGCCTCCAGTTCCTGAAGTGTAAAAGGCACATTATACTGCTCTTCTCTGAGAGAAGAAAAGTCCAAGGGTGCAAACTCTCTGGCAGACTTTGAGGAAAGAAACAAGGGGCATAGATGGAGCCCCTGAGAAATATGGACCAGATGATTGCCAATTTCATTGGCAACATCTAGTGGGTTTGCTATATCAACACCGGCAACCCGCAGAACAGGAGCCAGGTCAGGAAAATATTTACCACTCAGTTTTCGTACTTTTTTCCAGACTGCACTCATAGAGGAAGCAGAGGTGATGGTGGAGACATAATCTCGCCAGCAAGTGCGTTTAGCGTCACGGATGACACGGCGAGCGATCGCACGCTTCTGCTTAAAATCAAGAAGTCTCTCCGTGGTTCTATTGTACCGGTACCTGCCCCACGCAGTGCGTTTCAAACGTACTGCACGAGCACAAGCAGGAGACCACCAAGGCACGCATTTCTGAGAATGCCTGCCCAAAGTTTGGGGTATAGAATGAGAAGCTGCAGTTAAAACGGAGGACGAGAAGAGGTGTAAAAGCTCATCAATGGAGGACGAAGAAGAAACCTCACTAAAAACAGTTAGTTATGAGTAAAGGTTCCAATTTGCCTGATCAAATTGCCAGCGTGGGTTACGAAGAGGTGGTGAATATGAAGGGGAAGTAAGAATGATTGGGAAATGATCGCTGTCATGTAAATCCAGGAGAACAGACCAGGTGAAGTGTAATGCGGCGGAGGAAGAGCAGACTGAGAGATCGATGCAAGAGAGAGTGTGAGTCCGAGGATCAAAATGGGTGTGAGTACCTGTATTTAAAACATGGAGGGGGTGGGTAGCAAGAAAAGCCTCTAACTGAATGCCATGGGAATCACAGTGAGACCCCCCAGAGGAAATGATGGGCATTAAAATCGCCAAGTAACAGAAGTGGTGGCAGTAATGACGAAACAAGAAAGGCAATATCTGGGATAGATAATGCCCGAGAAGGAAAGAGATATAAGAACAGAGTGTATACCACCTATGCAAGTGGATACGGGCTGCTGTGTAATGCAGCGAAGTATGAACAAATAGCTGATGGTACGGAATATCAGTGCATAGAATAAGGGCACTTTCATTAAAGGTCTCATCAGGAAAAGGATCTGAAGAATACAATAAATTATAGCCTGAGATAGGATAGATAATGGCAGAGTGTAATTTTGGTTCCTGTAAGCAAACACCAACAGGGGAAAACTGGGAGAGCAACATCTGAAGCTCACCCTGATTACCCCTGAGGCCGCGAATATTCCACTGTAAATAGGCCATGATTGGCAACGATAAAGATACCTAAAATCCGCAGGTAAGGGTACCTATGGACTAGAGGGGTTAGAAAAGTCCACAGGCGGTGGCAAAGGAAAACGTTCAAGTAGCGAAGGAACGGTGCGTTGTGAAGAAAGGAGTTGCGCAGATGGAGAAGAGGAAAGAGAAGGAACAGAGGGTGAATCAGTGTCCATTGATGGTTTGGTCTCTGCAATGTATTCAGAGATTGCATCAAGTGTTTCAGAGTTCAGAGACATCGTATGGGAGACAATATTGGAGATGGAAGGAGGAGGGGTTTGAGTAAAGATCGGAGCTGTAATGGACTGTACCAAGGTAGGGGGGGGTGAAAGGGTGGAGGGAACTGGAGAAGTGTGGGAGGGGACAGAAGAGGCAGAAACCTGGGAGGTGGCAGAGGAGCAAGAAACTTGGGAGGGGACAGGGAAGGAAGGCACAGTATGAGGAGGAGGATGAACCTCCACACTTGTAACAGAGTCAGTGAAAGGGAAAGACTCAGGTACAGAGACCGGGAAGGTAAAATGTGGAGGTGGATGAAGGGAAGGAGGGGTTAAAGGAGATTTTTTGGGCCTCTGAGAAGTAGAGGGACGATTGGGAGGAGGTGTCGTACGAGGTCTTGTCGATACCGGGGTTTGTGAGGGAGGACACGAAGAAGTGAGGACAGACTGAGGAGTTGAAGTAGGGATGTCTGAGCCCAGGACAGCAAAAGAATTAGATACAGGAGTGACTATGGGACTGGCAACCGCAGAGGAGGCTGCAGAAGATGTGACCCCCAGAAGTGGGGGGACGCTTTGAAACATGAGAATAAGAAACACGAGGCAGTCTCCCTTGGAGGCGGAGATGAGAAACCGCCATAGCATAAGGGAGACCTTCTGCTGCTCATTTAAGTAGACTTGGCAATGGCGAGAGTACGAAGGGTGAGCCTCATGACAATTAAGGCAAGAGGGAGTTCGACTGCAAGACATATTAGAATGGTGATCGGCACCACAAACTGGGCATTCGGCTATAGATCTGCAATATTTTGCTGGGTGGCCAAATCACCAGCAATTCCTACACTGTTGCGGTGTAGGGATCACCTTCCGAGCTTGTAACCGATGTCCTGCTACATAAACAGAGGATGGGAGTTCACGGCTGTCAAAAGTTAAATGAGCCACATTGTAAGGGTATCGTCTTCTCCCACGGGCAGGAAGAACATAAGTGTCTACCTTGAGAATTGGGAGATCTTGGAGTTCCAGCTGTTCGAGAATGTCAGTGCCACATGTCTAGAAATTCTGTTGGACTATGATATGGGGCAGAATAACAGTACCACTACAAGAATTGAGGGAATGATGTTTTTCGATAGTGATAGGAATAGTATCGATATGTGGGTAGAATTCTGGACTGTGATGATGTGCGTACCACTCTTAAGAGCATGAAAGGAAATATCTCTACCAACGTGGCGTAGGAGCGCCTTGCCAATACTATGGTCGGAAAGATAGGCAGTAGAAGAAGTCGGTCTTAATGTAAAGAATTTAGTCCATTGTGTGGTCTGAAACGGAGTGTGGAGAGGGAGTGCATGACGTGTCGGTCTTTTCTGAGTAGAAAGGGAAGGTAACGAAGTAACATCATTAGGAGATTGTCATTGACGTTTAGAAGTGGGACCAGAGTCGGTCCGACGTGGGACGGGCCGGCGATTCGAAAATTGCTGCACCGTAGAGGGAGAAGCCAGAAGCATAGTCAAAGTAGAGCGGAGGTCAGACAAATCGAAGGAGTCAGTGGAAGCCCCGGTACCTGAAGCGGGTGAGGAAACAGCACCAGCAAGAGGTACAGGGGCCTTAGGAATGTCCGAAGAGTGGCCAAAAGACAAGGCGAGGTCAGAACGGGGTGCGGTAACAATAAGGGGCCCGGGGGTAGCGGGGTCATGGATCGGGTACTCCATGGTTAGGTTACTTCTTTCTTTTTGTTTTTAAGAAAAAAAAAGAAAGAAGAAAAGAAAATAAAAATAAAAAAAAAAGAATAAAAAAAAAGGGGGGACCGGGGAGGGATAGTTCTTAGGAGGAATGAAAGGGCCTGAAATCTCCCTCCGCGCCCAAGAGGACCTCAGCACCACAAATAGCGCAGATGCAGCATGGAACCCGTGCCATACCCTACCCATCATGCCAGTAAACCAGCAATTCGGGATAGCAACCTCACATCTGCCGAGCTACCTCGGTGGACAAAAGAGAGGGCAGCCGGATATCCGCCACAACGTATACCTCCTTTGGCCACCACCCCTGGAATCCGAAAGGTGGCTTCCAGAGATACACCCATCGCCCGAAAGACACCCAAAGCCACCCTCCGGGATACCTGAGAGGGATCGGGACATCCCCAGGCAATCCAGATTCCATGGCAAACTATGCCACCGCCAAGAACCTCAACGGAATGGGATTGACCCCGGTACCCTTTCCCCTACCTAGGAACTAGCGCGCCTGTGGGAAAAAATCCCTAAGGCCAAAAAGGAAGGGCAAAAGGGAGGGGTGGGGAGGAGGAGGAGGAAAGGAAAAAGGGGAGGATGGGAGAGGGAAGGGGGGATTGGGGGGTAATTAGGTTCGGTCTGAGGAAGGAGACCGACAGGTCTAATTCCTCAGACCAAGAGCCTCTTCACCACGCCAAGGAGCTCCCCTTGAAGAGGTTATTGTTTCATCTTTTTGTGCATTTCTGGCCAGACAGCTAATGAATGAATGAAGTTGAATGTGTTTCTTTTATTTTTCTGTTGCCCTTCCTTGGTGGGAGATGGCCAGTGTTTTTTTTTTTTTTTTTTTAACAAGTATTTCAGTTGACTCATTTTAAAACTATACGCTATTAAAAAAAAATACCATGGGTGGGGTTTGAACCCGCGGTCAGTCATAAAACTCTCTGACTGTGGGTTCAAACCCCACCCGTGGTATGGTTTATTTGCAATCGTGTCATTACGATTTCATGAGTCAGTTATACACTATTATTTGAATGCTGTAGCTTCCAAATGTTTATATTTTACGATATTATTTATCACCCAACATATGTGTTAGGATTATTAACCTAAAAAACCAGTATACACACACACACACACATGCACATATACATAGTGTCTAATTTCTCATTTAAAATGTTTATTTAACAGATTGATATTATGGAGTTAATCAAGACCAGAGTCACTATTTCAGCTCCTAAAAAAAAGATGAGCGTGAAGGGTCATATTGCCCAGAAGAGAACAGAGCAGACCTTAAAAAGATACAGAAGAGAGCAAGAGTCTCTGGGTACAGTGCAGCAAGAGCCTCAAGGTACAGTGCAGCAAGTCTCTCTGGGCACAGTGCAGGATGATCAAAATCAAACTGGTACATCCAAAGAAAAAAGAACAAATTGACTTTCATTATAGTTCAGAAACTGTACTTTGCCTGTCCATGGAGCTATTTCTTGGTAATGAAATACATACTGTTAAGCTACAGTGGATTAATTGCCTTCCTGAAACTTTCGGTTGAAACTGAATGTCATATGGTTATATAAGATACTCGTTAATTAAGCATTAATTAAAGAACTGCTGGCTTAGCGCTTCTTTTTGATTATAATAATAATAATTAAAGAACTGCACACAACTTAAGGTACAAAACATTTTCTAAGTAAAGAAATGTAAATGAAAGAAATATTTACGGTAAAATTAAAATGTATACACCTTACAGTATTTTGGACAATTTTGTTGTGCTCAAGAATGGAAGAGTACAGCATGTAATGTAAGTGTGAGCACATTAAGTGTAATAAATATTAATAAAAATCTAAATGAGTATTATTATTATTATAGCTTTATACTCATCGGAAGTGCTAAACTTGAAGGGGATAATGGGTGCAATTTTTTGGATCAAGAGCCCTACACCAGCCTCAACAACTTGGACCACCACTGTGTTGTCTACCCATAAAGATCTGACACTTAGTATTTAAATATAGTATTAAATATAATAATCTGCAAGTATAATGATTATAAGGGACATTAAAAAAAGCCTACGATGATGCAGTTTATTAATAAGAAAAATGCAAAAGTTGCTGCAAGTGTTTCAAAAGGCAGCGGCATCAAGACTGAAGAATATCATGACTTCATTATAACCTTCACATGTTATGCATTTCTGCAGTAAAACCCTACAAATGCATTTCTATGTTTGCATTTATCCCACTGCTTAGCAAGTATGAAAATAAGAGATTTTTCAAGTCAACCACTCATCTTTCTGGGCACAGCTGCAGGACTTTGTTCTAGTTCAAAAAATGGCACCCCTTCCTCTTCCATATATACCTTGATAGCTCATATGACCCTCCACATGTATCCTTTATCTGGTGTTTACCAACCTCTTCTGCTACCCACTCTGACAGTATGCCACTTTCAGTGCAGACTCACTCAGATGTTTTAACTGAAAATAACGTATTACAGCAAATTTGACTCCTACCCTACCAAGATGGTACCTCCAGCATTGACTGAGCAAGGATTGGCAAAAACCACCTGATTAGATAAAATCACAGATTGTGCAATCATTTTTCAGCTAACAGGCATGTCAGGTTATCTTCACCAGAAGATAACATGACATGCCTAAAGATCAAATTTCCATCAGGTGGAGTGATCCAACCACTAGAGCATTACCAACAGAGGCTACATTAGAAGAGGGTTGACAAGAGGTTCATTATCTTTCTGTCTTGGAGCTGGATTTCACAAAAGGACATATAATATCCAAGGAAACTAAAAGGAGAGAGGAGGGGTAGGAGAAATTTAGATCTGATCCAAGGAAGGAAAGAAAGATCCAAGAGGTTCTTTGCCACGGGAAGGGAACTTCCTTGAATGGGGTGGTCTTCGAGAAAATGTGAGACAAGTAGAATACAGGGCACTGGCAATATGCTTTCTCCATAAGTACTGTACTTGATACTAAAGTAAAATGAACAAAAATAGGGAGAGAATTGGTTGATGCAATTTGGTGGGAATGAGCACTGAACCATGAAGACTTTGCCTGCTTGAATGATGATAATGTACTTTCCTATATATAAAGTAATTTTTCTTTGAGTTCACTCATTAAGGTACATATATACAGTATATACAAGTAAAAAAATATGATTTGAATATTTGTAATTATCTAACAAAAACTTTATTACAAGAAAAATCAACCAAATAACTTAAATTGCTTCTTTGCAGCAGTAGGCATTTCTGTATTAGACAATGATCTAGAGGATACTGCAGTAGTTGATTTAGTACCCAATTCTGTTAATAAAGGACAAGGTGCAGCAGGATTTTCCCTCGAGTTACCTTCACGACTGGAAATAACTGTTGGCAAAACTGTGGGTAGTCCAGAATCTGCCACAGCCCCTTGGCGAAAAGTGTGTAAAACATTTATCATACCAACATTCTGAGTAGTGTTAGTAATTGAGCTTGATTCAGAATATCCACAATCACTATCAGAGTTATATGATTCATTGCTATTTTCATTACCATGGCCATCATTGATATAGAGTCCTGAGAGCTGTGGTATCATTGGAGGCACATTACCAACAGCACCACTGGGAAGCCGAGATATAGTCTCGCTATAGCTGGGCGGGTCTCTGCTCTCACTACCATTAGCCAAGGTTGGACTGACATTTATATGTGGCACATGAAACTGTGGAATACTAGGTTGAAGAGGATTCATTCCGTAAACAATATTACCCCCAGCTCCTTGTTTCCAACCAGTTGTTCCACCATAATGAAACATTCGTGGATGATATGCGACTGACCCATTAGCAACTAATCTTGGAACATTTCCAAGCACTGCTGGGCAAGGGGAATAGTGTGGAGGTACATGTGAATTTGGAGATAATCCTGGTGGAACAGGTGAACGTGGTGGAATTGAAGATGGGGATGGTGGAGAATGATAAGGTGGTAGCATAGAAGCAGGAGAGGGAGATGGAGAATGATGAAAAAAGTGAGGAAGGGATGGCTGGGTAGAAGGGGATGGTGATGGCGAGTGAAAAGATCCAGCAGTATCATAGTGTATTTGCAGCATGTGTGGTGTTGAAGACACTGAACTCATTTCCCCTAAGGAGATTCCTGAAAGAAAAATATACAGATTAATCATATAGGCTTTCTCAACCAAAGAACTAAACTACTCATTAGTATTTTAACTTAAATATGTGGATTATTTATTTACAGGATGATTATACTCTACAAATACAGTAAATACAAAAATCATAAATGATTCTAGTAGTCACTATAAGCTAGAAGACAAATGGGATAAATCAAAAGTGAAAAGCAATTATCCCCTCAAAAAATGTACAAGTAAGAATACTGATGTGTAAGTAGAAATATTGATGAATTCAGATGGCTACCAGTATTTCAAATTAGAAAGTTGAGAATTAATTAGGGTCCAGCTGATACAGTTAAGTACGTATATGATTATTTGGTGTAGGTGTGGTAGGTTTCATTTTCTCTGATACAAAATATTTGGCATGACGGAGTTTTTATTTATGCTCTGTTTAAACTGTTCCTTAGATATTTTTTCTTAGCTGATAGTTTATAGGTATATGTTCATTTAGTGTACACATGTGGCTTCTTAAACATTCTAGGTAGTAGGTTGGTAGACAGCAACCGCCCAGGGAGGTACTACCTTCCTGCCAAGTGAGTGTAAAACAAAAGCCTGTAATTGTTTTACATGATGGTAGGATTGCTGGTGTCTTTTTTTCTGTCTCATGAACATGCAAAATTTCAGGTACGTCTTGCTACTTCTACTTACACTCAGGTCACACTACACATACATGTACAAGCATATATATACATACCCCTCTGGGTTTTCTTCTATTTTCTTTCTAGTTCTTATTCTTGTTTATTTCCTCTTATCTCCATGGGGAAGTGGAACAGAATTCTTCCTCCGTAGGCCATGCGTGTTGTAAGAGGCGACTAAAATGCCGGGAGCAAGGGGCTAGTAACCCCTTCTCCTGTATATATTACTAAATTTGAAAGGAGAAACTTTGGTTTTTTCTTTTGGGCCACCCCGCCTCGGTGGTATACGGCCGGTGTGTTGAAAGAAAGAAAGATATATATATACATACCCCTCTGGGTTTTCTTCTATTTTCTTTCTAGTTCTTGTTCTTGTTTATTTCTTATCTCCATGGGGAAGTGGAACAGAATTCTTCCTCCGTAAGCCATGCGTGTCGTAGGAGGCGACTAAAATGCCAGGAGCAAGGGGCTAGTAACCTCTTCTCCTGTATATAGTATTACTAAATGTACAAGGAGAAACTTTCGTTTCTCCTTTAGGGTCACCCCGCCTCGGTGGGATACGGCCGGTGTGTTGAAAGAAAGAAGATGTGGTTTCTTAAACATGTGGGATAGCAGGTACAGTATATCGTGCTACTTACATTTAGGTCACACTATACATGCATGTACACACATATATATGTATATGTACACACCTATCTGGGTTTTCTTCTATTGTCTTAATATTTCTTGTTCTTCTTTATGGCAGTGGAGATGTCCTGTCTAAGGGCAATGTGTGGTGTAAATATTATGCAGAAAATTAGGAGTGTGGAAATTAGGAGAAGGTGTGGAGTTAATAAAAGTATTAGTCAGAGGGCTGAAGAGGGGTTGTTGAGGTGGTTTGGTCATTTAGAGAGAATGGATCAAAGTAGAATGACATGGAGAGCATTTAAACCTGCAGGAGAAGGAAGGCGGGGTAGGGGTCATCCTCGTAAAGGTTGGAAGGAAGGGGTAAGGGAGGTTTTGTGGGTGAGGGGCTTGGACTTCCAGCAGGCGTGCATGAGCATGTTCGATAGGAGTGAATGGAGATGAATGGTATCTGGGACCTGACGATCTGTTGGAGTGTGAGCAGGGTAATATTTAGTGAAGGGATTCAGGGAAACCAGTTATTTTTATATAGCCTGACTCGAGTCCTGGAAATGGGAAGTACAATGCCTGCACTCTAAAGGAGGGGTTTCAGGATATTAGCAGTTTGGAGGGATATGTTGTGTATCTTTATACGTGTATGCTTCTAAACTGTTGTGTTCTGAGCACCTCTGCAAAAACAGTGATTATGTGTGAGTGAGGTGAAAGTGTTGAATGATGATGAAAGTATTTTCTTTTTGGGGATTTTCTTTCTTTTTGGGTCACCCTGCCTCGGTGGGAGACGGCCGACTTGTTGAAAAAAAAAAAAATAAGAATCTCCATAGGGGGAAGCGGAAAAGAATTCTTCCTCCCTAAGCCATGTGTATTGTAAGAGGCGACTAAAATGCCAGGAGCAAGGGGCTAGCAACCCCTTTCTCCTTTATAAATTACTAAATTTAAAACGAAACTTTTTTTTCTTTTAGGTCACCCTGCCTCGGTAGGATATGGCCAGTGTGTAAAAAATGTGGTTCCCTATTTGTTCGGGATAATTTGGTCAAAAAATGTATTTTTTTTAAGCTGCTATTCAGATTGTTTCAGCATTGTACATATCTTATATGACAATGCTTTTTATAAATTATACAAGTTTGGCTCTTAAGGTTATAAAGAAAAAAGTTCCTTACTTTTTGCTCGGGCTCGCTCATCCAAGACTACACCATAACTCTCCAGTTCCTTGAAAACTGTAGTCATGTCTGGACGCTTTCCTGCTGCAGAATGCACACAGTCCTAAGAGAAATAGTTATCAAAAGTAATCCAAATAATATTTTTGGTAATTAAATCAGTTTGGTTTATATTACAGAAACTTAAACAAGCAAAAGATAGAACTTACTTTTCCAAGTTTATAAAGGAATGTAAACACTTCTTCATGGTTGATTCCAGCATTTCTGTCTCTGAGCGACTCTTCGTCAGTAGTGTCATCCACAAGATCCTTCTGCATAAACAGTGCACAAAAAGCCATTAGACAATTATTTGTTTTATGCCTCCCTGATAAATTAATGCTGCTTTCCTGACAACAAGAAGATATTTTTTTTACTTAATAATTGATACTCTAATATTAAATATTCTAATACTGAACCCTTAAAATGTAATTAAACTTTGAAAGTAGCTTACCAAAAACTTTCCTCTTTCCTTTCTCTTTTCATCATAAGCTCTAAGACCAGTACACAGTTCAAAGAGAACAACACCATAACTATATGTATCGACTTTTACAGACAGCTTTTTTGACCTTAAGTAATCATCTGGAAGGTAAGGCTTGGTACCATGAACTCGTGAGACCTGTAAGGATAAATTATTTATTTACAAAAGTGAAGTTACAGACAGAGAGCTATTATCCTACCTTGGCTCATCTTAAAAGGTCCTGCCTATCAAAGGTCTCCCATCACATTTTGGATGCAATCCACAAGAATCAGCTAACACACAAGTACAACCTCTAGGTGAAAAGGGGCAACAGATATAAGGAAACATGCCAAATGTCTCTACTCCAGGCTTGAACCCAGGTACTTCGATTATGAATTGACATTGTTAACAATGAATCCTGAGACTTGACAAAGAATACAGTTAAATACTACAAAATATAACTACAGATCTATCTATTTACTCTGAAACTGAATGAATGAATGACTGTACTTAGTATTATCAAAGTATCTGGTTCATTATTGCCATCATTGTAGGTTTTTTATTTTATTAGCACACTGGCCGATTCCCACCAAGGCAGGGTGGCCCGAAAAAGAAAAACTTTTACCATCATTCACTCCATCACTGTCTTGCCAGAAGGGTGCTTTACACTACAGTTTTTAAACTGCAACATTAACACCCCTCCTTCAGAGGGGTGTTAATGTATGTCTGGAATTCTTAGGTAAATATTTAAAATGCACCTGCAAATATTGATAATCCCTAAGGTATGTTATTTTACAGTGTTTTGAAAATATTTTACATAAAACTTTTACAAACAAAAGGAGTTGCCAAGGAATACATGGATAATGGCATTATGCAAACCTCAACAAACTTACTTTCATGCTAGTTGACTGGCTCTTGCCTTCTCTTGCCAAGCCGAAATCACCTAGTTTGGGTTCATAGTTTTGGTCCAGTAATATGTTAGCACTGTAAAAATAGAAAATGAATTGTATATACACTCTGTATGCATTATTGAGGGATCATCTCTTGTGTTCCACTAGCCAGAAAATTAGGTAATACTGCCAACTCTGTAGCGGTCCCTATCTAAAGGGAGCGAGAGAAATAGCAAGAAGATAAACTGACTGCTTTCTCCAATCTTGCCGTTTTTCCTATGTACAAGCTAGCCTTACAGTTGCATATGTGCAGGAATATGTATGGTAGCGAGTCACAATTGAAGTTGTATATACTGTACACTAAGTAGCCACTTTATTAAGTACACCTGCTTGTTAATGCAACACTCTAATCACCCAATCACAGGGCAGCACTGCAATGCCTAAAAGCATGCAAACATGGTCAAGATGATAGATTGTTGTCCAAACCAAACATCAGAATGGGAAAGAAATGTGAGCCAAGTGAATTTGACTGTGGAATGACTGTTGGTGCCAGGCAAAGTGGTTAAGTACCTCAGAAATTGCTGGTCTCCTGGAATTTTCATGCAAGCAGCAGTTCTGTGAGAGGATAAATGCCTTGTTAATCAGAGAGGTCACAGGAAAATGACAAGACAGGTTCAAGCTCACAGGAAGGCGACAGGAATTCAAATAACAATGCGTTACAACAGTGGTATGCAGAGGAGCATCTTTAAATGTACAACAAAATGAACTTTGAAGTTGATGGGGTGCAGCAGCACAAGACCACACTGTCTTCCACTCCTATCAGCTAAGAACAGGAAACTGAGGCTACAGTGGGTACAGGCTCACCAAAACTGGACAGCTGAAGATGAGAAAACCATCACCTGGTCTGTCGAATTGTGATTTTTGCCGTGACATGCAGATGGTAGGTCAGAATTTAGCGTAAACATGAATCCCTGGGTCCATCCTGCCTTGTGTCAAGGGCTCAGGCTGGTGGTGGTTGTGTATATGTGTGGGGAATGTTTTCCTGGCACACATTAGGACCCACAATACCAATTAAACATTGTTTAAATTCCACAGCCTACCCGAGTAGTGTTGCTGACCATGTGCATCTGTTTCTGGCCAGTCTTCCCAACTTCCAATGGCTACTTCCAGCATAATACAATATGTTACAAAGCAAATATCATCTCAAGGTGGTTCCATGAACATGACAATGAGTTTAGTGTACTCCAATAGCATCCAGTCACCAGATCTCAATTCAGGAGCTTTGCAGCATAAATATATAGACAACAAATCTGCAGCAACTGTGTGATGCTATCATGTCAACACAGACCCAAATCTCTAAGGAATGTTTATAACACCTTGTTTAATCCATGCCATGAAAAATTCAAGCAATTCTGGGGGCAAAGGGGGGCCCCCTTACCCAGTACAAGAAGGGTGTACCTAATTAAGTGGCCACTGAGTGTATGTAGCATTAGTTTGGGCAGAAGTAATTACGTAATCATTTATGAAGCAAGTGTGTTCTCAGGATTGATCATCCTTTTTTATTATTATTATCACACTGGCCGATTCCCACCAAGGCAGGGTGGCCCGAAAAAGAAAAACTTTCACCATCATTCACTCCATCACTGTCTTGCCAGAAGGGTGCTTTACACTACAGTTTTTAAACTGCAACATTAACACCCCTCCTTCAGAGTGCAGGCACTGTACTTCCCATCTCCAGGGCTCAAGTCCGGCCTGCCGGTTTCCCTGAATCCCTTCATAAATGTTACTTTGCTCACACTCCAACAACACGTCAAGTATTAAAAACCATTTGTCTCCATTCACTCCTATCAAACACGCTCATGCATGCCTGCTGGAAGTCCAAGCCCCTCGCACACAAAACCTCCTTTACCCCCTCCCTCCAACCTTTCCTAGGCCGCCCCCTACCCCGCCTTCCTTCCACTACAGACTGATACACTCTTGAAGTCATTCTGTTTCGCTCCATTCTCTCTACATGTCCGAACCACCTCAACAACCCTTCCTCAGCCCTCTGGACAACATTTTTGGTAATCCCGCACCTCCTCCTAACTTCCAAACTACGAATTCTCTGCATTATATTCACACCACACATTGCCCTCAGACATGACATCTCCACTGCCTCCAGCCTTCTCCTCGCTGCAACATTCATCACCCACGCTTCACACCCATATAAGAGCGTTGGTAAAACTATACTCTCATACATTCCCCTCTTTGCCTCCAAGGACAAAGTTCTTTGTCTCCACAGACTCCTAAGTGCACCACTCACTCTTTTTCCCTCATCAATTCTATGATTCACCTCATCTTTCATAGACCCATCCACTGACACGTCCACTCCCAAATATCTGAATACGTTCACCTCCTCCATACTCTCCCTCCAATCTGATATCCAATCTTTCATCACCTAATCTTTTTGTTATCCTCATAACCCTTTCTCTTTCCTGTATTCACCTTTAATTTTCTTCTTTTGCACACCCTACCAAAATTCATCCACCAATCTCTGCAACTTCTCTTCAGAATCTCCCAAGAGCAGTGTCATCAGCAAAGAGCAGCTGTGACAACTCCCACTTTGTGTGTGATTCTTATCTTTTAAACTCCACGCCTCTTGCCAAGACCCTCGCATTTACTTCTCTTACAACCCCATCTATAAATATATTAAACAACCACGGTGACATCACACATCCTTGTCTAAGGCCTACTTTTACTGGGAAAAAATTTCCCTCTTTCCTACATACTCTAACTTGACCTCACTATCCTCGTAAAAACTCTTCACTGCTTTCAGTAACCTACCTCCTACACCATACACTTGCAACATCTGCCACATTGGCCCCCTATCCACCCTGTCATACGCCTTTTCCAAATCCATAAATGCCACAAAGACCTCTTTAGCCTTATCTAAATACTGTTCACTTATATGTTTCACTGTAAACACCTGGTCCACACACCCCCTACCCTTCCTAAAGCCTCCTTGTTCATCTGCTATCCTATTCTCCGTCTTACTCTTAATTCTTTCAATTATAACTCTACCATACACTTTACCAGGTATACTCAACAGACTTATCCCCCTATATCTATAATAAATACAAGCTGAGTTAGATCACCACGTTCTTTATGAAATTCAAAGCACATCCTGAAAAGTCCCTCAATGAACCCTTTCAGGGTCCAGACCCCTGATCTGAAAATTGCTCTCGGGGTCCAAGAATTTAAAAAAAAATTATTTTTTCTTATAAAATGATAGAGAAACTTTTTCCGAAGATAATGAAACCAAAATTACGAAATTTGATGGAAAATTTACGGAATTACAGTCTTGCAAAGTCAGCAGTCTCAGCGATATTTACACATCAGCGATTTCATCCAATTTGAGTCCTATTTTAGGCCAATTTCATTGTTCCAATCAACCAAACTCTTAGCTATTTTACTAGTATGTCTTCCATTCTATCGACTGAGTACAAGAAATGCCTATTTAACTATTTCAACTACCCAATAAAGTGATCAGAAATCGGTAATTTGGCCAACTTCATACAAAATTCAGAAATTGCTAATTTAAAAATAAGGTACAGAATAAACAATGCAGACATTCCTGGCACTAAAACAACATTTCCTCTGTTCATCAATCTCCAAGCTTCTCTTTTATTACATTTGCTTTCCATTTCAAATTTTTATTCACACAAAATATAGAAGATTTACTGTTATGCAGACTACTGCATTAATGTAATAATCATATAAATAATGTCTCATAAACATGCAAGGTTGCAGGTATATCTTGCTACTCCTACTTACACTTGGGTCACACTACACATGCATGTACAAGCATATATATACTAACCCCTCTGGGTTTTCTTCTATTTTCTTCCTAGTTCTTGTTCTTGTTTATTTCTTCTTATCTCCATGGGAAAGTGGAACAGAATTCTTCCTCTATAAGCTATGCGTGTCATAAGAAAGGCGGAGCACTGCAATAGGCTTGTTGGCCCATACTAGGCAGGTCCTTCACAAATCCAACCCACTAACCAAATAAATGCTACACAAGCAATAAGCTTTTGATAATCCCATTTACTCACATGCAAGTCCCTCTCAAATCCAACCCCTCTTGCTCGTGCATTTATCCAACCTAAATTTGAAACTACCCAAGGTTTTAGCTTTGATCACCCTACTAGGCAGACCGTTCCACTCATCAACTACTCTATTACCAAACCAGTACTCTCCTATATCCTTTCGAAATCTAAACTTATCTAATTTGAATCCAATATTACGGGTTATCTCTTGGATTGATATCCTCAAAACCTTATTTATATCCCTTTTGTTAATACCCATCTTCCACTTATACGCTCTGATCATGTCTCCCCTCATTCTTCGTTTTACAAGTGAATGTAGTTTAAGAGTCTTCAATCGTAAGAGGCGAATAAATGCCGGGAGCAATGGGCTAGTAACCCCTTCTCCTGTACAAATTACTAAAAACAAGGAATGGGATGTTTGAATGTGTGTGGATGTAGTGCGGATGATATGAAAGAGATAACTGCTAATGTTATGAATGAAAAGAAGTTGGATGTCCTAGCCCTAAGCGAAACAAAGCTGAAGGGGGTAGGCGAGTTTGACTGGGGAGAAATAAATGGGATTAAGTCAGGAGTATCTGAGAGATTTATAGCTAAGAAAGAGTTTGCAATAATGTTGAAGGATCAGTTGTGGAGAGAGAAGAGGGAATATAAATGTATAAATTCAAGGATTATGTGGATTAAAATAAGGGTTGGATGTGAAAAGTGAGTCATAATAAGTGTGTATGCACCTGGAGAAGAAAGGAGTGTAGAGGAGAGAGAGAGAGAGATTTTGGGAGATATTAAGCGAGTGTGTAGGAACTTTTGAGCCAAGTGAGAGAGTAATTGTGGAAGGGGACCTAAATGCTAAAGTAAGAGAAGCATTTAGAGAGGGTGTGGTAGGTAAGTTTGGGGTGCCAGGTGTAAATGATAATGGAGAGCATTTGATTGAACTTTATTTAGAAAGGGGTTTGGTTATAGGCAACACATATTGTAAGAAAAAGAGGATAAATAAGTATACGAGATCTGATGTAGGGCGAAAAGACAGTAGTTTGTTGGACTACGTATTGGTAGATAAAAGACTGTTGGGTAGACTTCAGGATGTACATGTTTATAGAGGGGCCACAGATATATCATCACTTTTTCATTGTAGCTATTGTGAGAGTAAAAGGTAGATGGGATACAAGGAGAATGGAAACAGCAAGTAAAAGAGAAGTGAAGATTTATAAACTAAAGGAGGCAGTTAGGGTAAGATATAAACAACTGTTGGAGGACAGATGGGCTAGTGAGAATATAGGCAATAGAGTAGAAGATGTATGGGGTAAGTTTAAGAATATAGTGCTAGAGTGCTCAGCAGAAGTTTGTGGTTATAGGAAAGTGAGTGCGGGAGGGAAGAGCGATTGGTGGAATGATGATGTAAGAGAGTAGTAAGAGAGAAAAATTTACCATGAGAGGTTTTTACAAAGTAGAAGTGATGCAAGGAGAGAGGAGCATATGGAAAGAAAAAGAGAGGTTAAGAGAGTGGTGAAGCAATGTAAAAAGAGAGCAAATGAGAGGGTGGATGAGATGTTAACAAATTTTTTTGAAAATAAGGAAAAGTTTTGGAGTGAGATTAATAAGTTGAGAAAGCCTAGGGAAAGAATGGATTTGTTAGTTAAAAATAGGAGAAGAGAGTTATTAAATTGAGAGTTAGAGGTATCGAAAAGATGGAGGGAATATTTTGAGGAACTGTTAAATGTTGATAAAGACAGGCAAGCTGTGATTTCGTGTATAGGGCAAGGAGGAATAACATCTTATAGGAGTGAGGAAGAACCAGTTGTGAGTGTGGGGGAGGTGCATGGGGCAGTGAGTAGAATGAAAGGGGGTAAAGCAGCTGGGATTGATGGGATAAAGATAGAAATGTTAAAGGCAGGTGGGGATATAGTTTTGAAGTGGTTAGTGTTTTTATTTAATAGATGTATAGAAGAGGGTGAGGTACCCAGGGATTAGCAGAGAGCATGCATAGTTCCTTTGTATAAAGGCAAAGGGGACAAAAGAGAGTGTAAAAATTATAGGGAATAAGTCTGTTGTCCAGAGGGCTGAGGAAGGGTTGTTGAGGTGGTTCGGACATGTAGAGAGAATGGAGCGAAACAGAATGACTTCAAGAGTGTATCAGTCTGTAGTGGAAGGAAGGCGGGGTAGGGGTCGGCCTAGGAAGGGTTGGAGGGAGGGGGTAAAGGAGGTTTTGTGTGCGAGGGGCTTGGACTTCCAGCAGGCATGCGTGAGCGTGTTTGATAGGAGTGAATGGAGACAAATGGTTTTTAATACTTGACGTGCTGTTGGAGTGTGAGCAAAGTAACATTTATGAAGGGATTCAGGGAAACCGGCAGGCCGGACTTGAGTCCTGGAGATGGGAAGTACAGTGCCTGCACTCTGAAGGAGGGGTGTTAATGTTGCAGTTTAAAAACTGTAGTGTAAAGCACCCTTCTGGCAAGACAGTGATGGAGTGAATGATGGTGAAAGTTTTTCTTTTTCGGGCCACCCTGCCTTGGTGGGAATCGGCCGGTGTGATAATAAAAAAAAAAAAAAATAAAAGTCTGTTGAGTATACCTGGTAAAGTGTACAGTAGTTATTATTGAAAGAATTAAGAGTAAGACGGAGAGCAGGATAGCAGATGAACAAGGAGGCATTAGAAAGGGTAGGGGGTGTGTAGACCAAGTGTTTGCAGTGAAACATACAAGTGAACAGTACGTATTCAAATAAGGGTAAAGAGGTACGTATTTGTGGCATTTATCGATTTGGAAAAGGTATATAATAGGGTAGATAGGGGGCAATGTGGCAGATGTTGCAAATGTATGGAATAGGAGGTAGGTTACTGAAAGTGGTGAAAAGCTTTTATGAGGATAGTGAGGCTCTGGTTAGATTATGTAGGTGAAAAAGATTATTTCCCAGTAAAAGTAGGCCTTAGACAGGGATGTGTGATGTCACCATGGTTATTCAATATATTTATAGATGAGGTAGTAAGAGAAGTGAATGCTCGGGTGTTGGCATGAGGTGTGGGGTTAAAAGATAATGAATCTAACACAAAGTGGGAGTTGTCACAGTTGCTCTTTGCTGATGACACTGTGCTTTTGGGGGATTCTGAAGAGAAGTTGCAGAGGTTGGTTGATAAGTTTGGTAGGGTATGTAAAAGAAGGAAATTAAAAGTGAATATAGGAAAGAGTAAGGTGATGAGGATAACAAAAATATTAGGTAATGGAAGACTGGATATCAGATTGGAGAGAGTATGGAGGAGGTGAATGTGTTCAGATATTTGGGAGTGGATGCGTCAGCAGATGGGTCTATGAAGGATGAAGTGAATCATAGAATTAACGAGGGGAAAAAGGTGAGTGATGCACGGAGGAGTCTGTAGAGACAAAGAACTTTATCCATGAAAACAAAGAGGAGAATGTATGAGAGTATAGTTGTACCAATGCTCTTGTATAGGCGTGAGGCATAGGTTGTGAATGTTGCAATTAGGAGAAGGCTGGAGGGAGTGGAGATGTCATGTCGGGGGGCAGTGTGTGGTGTGATTATAAAGCAGAGATAAGTAGATTAGGAGGTGTGGGATTACCAAAACTATTATCCAGAGGGCTGAGGAGGGGGTTATTGAGATGGTTTGGAGATGTAGAGAGGATGAAACAAAATAAAATGACTTCGAGAGTCTATAAATCTGTAGTGGAGGGAAGGCAGGATACGGGTCAACCTAAGATAGGTTGGATGGAGGGGGTAAAGGAGGTTTTGTGTGCAAGGGGCTTGGACTTCCAGCAAGCATGTGTGAGTGTGTTAGATAAGAGCGAATGGAGACAAATGGTTTTTAGGACTTGACGTGCTGTTCGAGTGTAAGCAAGGTAACATTTATGAAGGGATTCAGGGAAACTGGCAGGCTGGACTTGATTCCTGGAGATGGGAAGTACAGTGCCAGCACTCTGAAGGAAGGGTGTTAATGGTGCAGTTTTATAACTGTAGTGTAAGCATGCCTGTCAAGATAGTGATGGAGTGAGTGATGATGAAAGTTTTTTCTTTTTCAGGCCACCCTGCCTTGGTGGGAAATGGCTGATGTGTTAATAATAAAAAAAAGCATTCATGAATGCACATTAGACTGACCAGTTGGACGTGTATTGGACAAGCGATATAATTTTTGTCCTCCGGAATATCGGCAAAAATCTAACATTTCCACTACTCTATTTCTGTAATATATCTTCCATTTTATCAAATAATACTAAGAATGCAACCATAAAAACCATCCAAAAATACACCACAGTCACTATTTTAAACCAAATACATGGTCAAAGTTTTTTTTCCCCATCATGTACTATGTGGGGAAGGATTTTTTTTTTTATATGGCCCACACTCAACACATAGACCAATTCTCTCATGTCTAGGACCAAATTTACCTCTTACTGCTTATCTAAGTGAGCTGAGCTCATCACATAGTTCTATGGGACAGACCCTGAGCTCAAAGCCGTAGTACTGTGGCACAAACCTCAAAAGGGTTAAATATTTACCTGTTGCCAAAAATAATTTATAAAGTAAGAGGGTTTCCTGCAACCCCCAATCACTAGCCTGATTTCCCACTAAATTAATGCCTTGTCATTTGCATTCATTTTTTTTAACATGGTGGCCATCTCCCACCAAGGTAGGGTGACCCAAAAAAGAAGAAATGCTTTCATCATCATTATGCAATCACTGTCTTCCCAGAAGCATGATGACAAACAGCTCACATGAACTTCTGAACTGCAACCACCATACTTCACACCTCCAGGGTTTAAGTGTCGCTAACCAGCTTCTCTGAATCCTTTCATAAATATTACTTTGCTCAAACTCCAACATCTCATCAAATCATAAAAAACCACTTTCCTCAACTCCTATCAACAAGCTCACACAGGACTATTGAACGTCCAAGTCCCTAGCCCTCCACACCTCCCTTACACCCTCTTTCCAACCCTTCCTGGAATGGCCCATACCTCCCCCCTTTTCCCTCTATTCCACATATAATTACAGCCTCTCCTTGCTTAGCGACGTACTCGTTTACTGACAACTTGGACTTACGACAGGTTCTCTGACTAGTATGCATGCCTAAATAATGTATATTAGAGCTGATTTCCTCTATTCTGTTAATTACAATATACAGTACATTACTGTATAAACATTTAAAAATATACCAGAAATGTTATCAATGGTGCAAAGGTGACATTAAAATAATATCTAAGATGACACAAACCCACTACCATTATAGTGTGCTCCTCACCTAGCAACGAATTCATTTACCGACGAGGTCTTAGGAATGGAACTCTGTCGATAAGTGAGAAGAGGCTGTATATGCCCTCCTATTCATCTTATTTTTCTCTATCCTCTCTAAATGTCCAAACCACCACCTCTGTCCTCTGAATAATACTTTTGCTAGCCCCACACTTTCTTCTAATCTCCAAGTTCTGAATTTATATCATATCTGATTTTTTTTAACATTGTCTGTCCTCCGCCGAAGCAGGGTGACCCAAAGAACAAGGAAACACATTCACCATTATTCGTTCAATTGCTGTGTTACCAGAAATGTGCAAACATCCCAAGCTATCACATCCACATCTATTACCTTTTATAATAAATATTATCCTTTCACCACTTAATTAAGGCTTACCTTTTTACGTCCCCATGAATAAGTGGCTTGTCTTTGACTGTGTGTAGAAACTGTAAAGCTCGCGCTGTGCCCCAGGCTATTCTGAAGCGCTGCCACCAAGAAAGTGGTGTGGTTGCTCCTAATGGTGGCCCTTCACCAAAAGCTTCAATTTTCTGAAATTATCATTAGCTCACTTGAAATATAAATGCATAATGCATAAATGAATAAAAGAAATGGGTCATTTGCAAGAGAATATATTGACCTCTAGGAATTCATGACTCCCAGAGATAAGAAAAGATAAATTCTTACCTTCTTCAGTACAAGTAATAAATGTTTATATAACACTTTTACTGCATGATGACAAAAATATATGAATGTATCTCACCCTACACTGAAGTCTATCCTCAACAGATCCATTGGGCATAAACTGGTACACTAGACATGGTGACAATTCATGATCTGTTGAGTAACCATAAACCTGTAAACATATATACATAATTTATATTTTGACCATGGACAAGATTAACAAATTGGACACTTAATTTAGAATCTAAAGGAATGATAACCAATCAGGCAGTAGAGATATAGGGTAAGTTTCACATGTGACAAACAGGGACACAAAGAAATTATATACGAAGAGTTATGCTAAACTGACCATATTTATTCACCTGTATTCAATAAATGCTGATATATATGATACATTTGTCAAACTTTATATGACTGATACATTCATGCAACTGGGAATACAATTATGGATTATGGGCAGAAAGGAATATTGCTTTAGCATAATTTTCGGTGATGCTTCAAATCAAACAAACAGTGATCTTTATAAGTACAATGCACAGTTTTCTATGAACTACAGCAATCCATTCTTTCACAAATAATATTCAGGTTATTAATTTACCTGCAGAATATTATCATGGCGATAAGACTGCAGAAGCTTTAATTCCTCAAGGCTCTGGCTTATGTGTAGTCGAGTGTTATCTAATGAGGCATTGTCATGCTGAAATTAAGATTTCCACATGAAAACTGAATGACTAAACTCAGACTTGCCGTCTATATATGACACAAACAAGGATGTAAGTAAATTGCTTCATTTAATTTACTTTCCAGAAATATTTTATTTTTAAGACCTACCTTAGTTCACTGGTTCACAACCTCAGGACTTGACCTAAACCAGAGTTGCAAAGGTTCTTCAGCAGGGTCATGAAGGATCTCAAAATTTTTATATACAACTTTGCATAAAAAATATTCATATATGTAAAGAGTACATATAGTTCTGTGAACAAATAAGTGAGTGGAATTAAGAAGTGGAAACAAAAACAAGAGAAAGAAACCAGATAAAGAGAAAGGAAGACATATACAAGAAAAACTGGAAGCAATGTAAACTTACCAAAAACATCAAAAATGTAGACAATATTTTTTTTTTTAGTGTCTGAAATGGTGTTGCCAAAACATGAACTGGGTAGAATGACTGCCTTATAGTCTTGGCACTCCATGTTACAAAAGTAAGCTGAAAACTGGGTGAGGGAAGGAAGAGTACCAATTGATAAATTCTCAGTAATGGAGATACCATATGACAAAATACTGTTGTAAGGTTGATAAAGCTTTGGTAACTCACTCTGAATGAGAGGTACAAAATATCAGGCCAACTATTCTATTTACTTTAAAATGTGATTACCCCGAGAGACTAGTATGCTGTGATAATTACAAGGATCTGTCATGTTTGCAGCAAGGTGTGCAGTTCACTATTAAGTACAGATCGAGTACAAACACACAGTAAAAGTAATTACAGTAGTACTTACGGGTTCAATTCTCTTAATGGCAACTTCTGTGTTTTTCCAAACACCTTTAAATACACAACCAAAGCCTCCTCGGCCCAAGAGATGATCTCGATTCCAAAGTGCAGTAGCTTCCTCTAGTTCTTTATATGGGATCACTGGAACACTGGTACTATGGTTTGATGTATCAGAGGCATCTTCAATTATAGAAAAAAACAAAACATAAATAATATTAATTAATATGCTGCACCTGACATCTATAGTTATAAAGCTGCATTCTGAACCCTTAAAGATGCCTTTGTAAGTCAGGGGCCCTGGGATGTCCTTCCATATGTACAATATATATTAACCATTCATGACTGGTACAGTTTGCTAAACTTATTGAAGCTTCTTATTATGAGGAATTAGGTGGTGATGATCTGACTGACATGTGTACAGCTGCCATGGGCCTAAAATGCCTCTATTGCATTCTGTCTAATTTATTAAGAATTTCTGTATATGCATACTGTTTTGTTGACACCTGCAGCATCTGCTCTAATACACGTATACTTATATACCTCAATCTTATGCTCTTCTCATATCTGCAAAACCAAATCATATTCACTTCTTCACCAGTTGCATTCATATGTGCTTATCTTTAATATAATTATTCATCATACAGTACCACTACTCTACATATTACACTTCCTTTTTTTTTTAACACAAGCCCTTTCCCACCATAGTAGGATGACCCCCCCCTCCCCAAAAAAAAAAAAAAAAAAACACTTTCACCATTATTCCTTTGATCACTGACTTGCCAGATGTGCACTCATATCACAGTTCAGATGACCCACCAAACTGCCACATCCTCATCCTTCCTTCAGAGTGCAAGCACACCTTCAGGACTCAAATCTAGCTAATCAGTTTCCCCTGAATCCTCTCATAAATGCTACCATGCTTATGCTCCAGTAGCACAACAAATCACAGCAACCACTTGTCTCCATTCACTCCTATCAAACACTCGCACATAAGCCAAATCAAGGGAGGTTCCTCGATGCTAGTGAGGGGCTCTTGATCTAAGGAATTGAATCTATGCTCCAGTTCCCTGAATTGAGCCTGAATACCTTCCACCCCCCCCCACATGCGCTGTATAAACCTACGGGTTTAGCGCTCCCCCATGATTATATAATCTCACATAAGCCTTTTGCATGTCCAGCTCCTAAGACTCAAAAATTCTTTTATCCCTTTCCTCCAACCTTTCCTAGGATGACACCCCTACCCCCTACCCTATATTGACATGTCTTTCTAGTCATTTTATTGTTCTCTACCCTTAGTCTTCTGAATAATACTTTTGGTAACTCCACACCTAAACTCCAAACTCTGAATTCTCTGAATAATATTCATACCACACACTACCCTCACACACATACATCTCCACTGCTTCCAGTCTCCCCCTTGCTGCAATGTTTAAGAAACATTGCTTCACACCCATACAACAGTGGTGTAATTTCCCCTCTTTTGCCTCCATGGATAAATTTCTTTTATCTTCACAGATGCCTCATTGAACCACCCACCTTTTTCTCTTCAATTATATCTCTAACAGAGCCATACACCAACAAGCTGACTCCCAAACAGTCTCCCCAAAATATTTCTCTTTTTAATTTCTATAAATTTTCTTGCCCGGCTCTCATTCCTTTATTTCTGCTGCACAAATCTTTTCACATAATTTCTCAGCCACAATTTTTTTTTTCCAAATAATTGTACTAACAACAAAAAGAGCTTACTAGAAATTCTGCGGTGTCGTTCTGCTCCAGGGCATTCTACAGGATGCCCTTGAGGACTTGGGAGGGGCTGAACTGTCACAACTCCAGTAAGTGATGCTCCTCCAGAGGAATTAGTTTGTCTTGTTACTTCTTTGCCCCCAGACTCCTGTGTCATCTCCTTCACTCTCTTTTCCTCTAGCTTTGTAAGTAAATTAAAATAAACTTATAAAAAATTAAATAATTAGACTGTTTTCAGTTTAATAATATGGTCATGGTACATTCAATACAAATTACCAATTTTTGCAGGCCAGCAGGATTTATTGTAATATTTTTTTTTTTAACAAGTCGGCCGTCTCCCACCGAGGCAGGGTGACCCAAAAAGAAAGAAAATCCCCAAAAAGAAAATACTTTCATCATCATTCAACACTTTCACCTCACTCACACATAATCACTATTTTTGCAGAGGTGCTCAGAATACAACAGTTTAGAAGTACGTATATACGTATAAAAATACACAATACAGCGGACCCCCACATAACGATATTATTTCAATCCAGAAGTCTGTTTGGGCGCCATTATAGACCGAATTTGTTCCCATAAGAAATATTGTAAATTAGATTAGTCCGTTTCAGACCCCTTAAAATACACCTACAAAATCACTTACAAAAATACACTTACGTAATTGGTCGAGTTGGGAGCTGATCGTTATGTGGGGGTCCACTGTATATCCCTCCAAACTACCAATACTATCCCAAACTTCCCATTTCCAGGACTCAAGTCCGGCTATATAAAAATAACCGGTTTCCCTGAATCCCTTCACTGAATATTACCCTGTTCACACTCCAACAGATCGTCAGGTCCCAAATACCATTCGTCTCCATTCACTCCTATCGAACACGCTCATGCACGCCTGCTGGAAGTCCAAGCCCTCGCCCACAAAACCTCCCTTACCCCTTCCTTCCAACCTTTTTGAGGACAACTCCTACCCTGCCTTCCTTCCCCTACAGATTTATACGCTCTCCACGTCATTCTACTTTGATCTATTCTGTCTAAATGACCAAACCACCTCAACAACCCCTCTTCAGCCCTCAGACTAATACTTTTATTAACTCCACACCTTCTCCTAATTTCCACACTCTGAATTTTCTGCATAATATTTACACCACACATTGCCCTTAGACAGGACATCTCCACTGCCTCCAACTGCCTCCTTGCTGCTGCATTCACAACCCAAGCTTCACACCCTTATAAGAGTGTTGGTACTACTATACTTTCATACATTCCCTTCTTTGCCTCCATAGATAATGTTTTTTTGTCTCCATATATACCTCAACGCACCACTCACCTTTTTTCCCTCATCAATTCTATGATTAACCTCTTCCTTCATAAATCCATCTGCCGACATGTCAACTCCCAAGTATCTGAAAACATTCACTTCTTCCATACTCCTCCTCCTCAATTTGATATCCAATTTTTCTTTATCTAAATCACTTGATACCCTCATCACCTTACTCTTTTCTATGTTCACTTTCAACTTTCTACCTTTACACACACACTCCCAAACTCATGCACTAACCTTTGCAATTTTTCTTAGAATCTCCCATAAGCACAGTATCCCTCAGTAAAAAGCAACTGTGTCAATTTCTCATTTTGTATTTGATTCCCATAATTTAATCCCACCCCTCTCCCAAACACCCTACATTTACTTCTTTTTTCAACCCCATCTATAAAAATATTAAACAACCATGTTGACATTACACATCCCTGTCTAAGACCTACTTTTACTGGGAAGTAGTCTCCCTCTCTTCTACACACCCTAACCTGAGCCTCACTATCCTCATAACAACTCTTTACAGCATTTAGTAACTTACCACCTATTCCATATACTTGCAACATCTGCCACATTGCTCCTCTATCCACTCTATCATATGCCTTTTCTAAATCCATAAATACAATAAAAACTTCCCTACCTTTATCTAAATACTGTTCACATATATGCTTCAATGTAAACACTTGATCTACACATCCCCTACCCACACTGAAACCTCCTTGCTCATCCACAGTCCTACTTATTGTAATATATGCCAGGCAAATGGACACAAGAGCAACTGATTAAGACATTTATTGAGTCTGGCAAGTGAATTGTAGCCATAATGTCTTATTAGTAGCTCATGTCTATTTACCTAATGTAGTCGATAATTTTACCAATGATTATACTATCTCCTGACTAAATATTGTGCAGATTATGATACTGATATGTTTATTTTTACTTTCAACTCCCTTGCATTAGCAAACACAAGCATGAGTATTATAATAAAGGAAAAAAATAAATACTGTATGGCACAGGGTTAGGCACCTGGAAAACAAGCACAGCAGAAATTTAAAGAAAGATAGCAAATAAGAGTATTCATTAATTTCCTAAATGTATATGTAAGGAAAATCATATGCAAATACATAGCAGTAGTAGCATTATTGTATTCATTGTATAAGAAGAATATGTTGAGAAATAGCAATATTAACATCACTGTATAAGAAGAGTATGTTGAGAAATAAACAATATATAAAGAGGGGGGGTGTCATCTCTTAAATGCTGTGCTGAAAGGTGACTTATGAGAAAGAGAAAAGTGAAAAGGTTTGTGAGGGAAGCAGAATTATATGCTGGAGGAATAAGTCTAAAAAGTTCTTTAACTTACCAAAGGAAGACCTACAACTGGGAATGGGAATTAATTGGGTACAGAATGATGAACAATAAAACTGCAGTATGGGCACAGTATTAGAATAACAGTATGGTACAAAAGATTGATACATACGTGCAATAAGAAATAAGTGAAAAGTACATCAAAGAATTAAGAGGGAAGTACTGAAGATTAAAAAAAAGGGGGGGGGGGCAATAATGAATACACATAAAATGCACATATTATAAAGATACAGGCCCATCCTGCAGTGTTACCAACACCAGCTGTAAGAAATGTGCCAAAATTATAAACAATGGGTAATATATAAGGTAATAACACTTGCCTAATTATTATTTTATCATTATTATAATCAAAGGGAAGTGTACAGGATTGATCACATGAAGGGTGGCTCAAATTCCTTGGATCAAGAGCCCTTCACCCTCTGCATCAAAGCACAACCCTTGAAGAACACACTTGCCTAAAAAATTATATTATTACAAATAAACATTATGAAGAAAAAAAGCACAATTTGCACCTTGTCCAAATAATCTTTATGAGGATCATACTGAGCTGCTTTATGTCTGGTCTTCAATTCCTCTAGATTGTTATCCTCACAAGACACTTCTGCACAGGTTCTGAAATTAAAAATATGCATTAGCCCACTGCACCAGAAGCCCTAATCCATCCAAATTTGTTTTGCTGGTTAATTCAGCAAATATACCATAAGCACACCAAATTTCTTTTATCAGAGTTTTTTTTTTTTAACAAGTCGGCCATCTCCCACCAAGGCAGGGTGACCCAAAAAGAAAGAAAGTCCCCAAAAAGAAAATACTTTCATCATTCAACACTTTCACCTCACTCACACATAATCACTGTTTTTGCAGAGGTGCTCAGAATACAATAGTTTAGAAGTATATACGTTTAAAGATACACAACATATCCCTCCAAACTGCCAATATCCCAAAACCCTCCTTTAAAGTGCAGGCATTGTACTTCCCATTTCCAGGACTCAAGTCCGGCTATATTTTCTTTTGCTACAATCACATTCCAACAAATGAGTAATTTTCAAATGTATTAAAAAATTTCAAGTTTCCTTTTTTTTTTTCTGTACATATACTGCACTCCTTCATATTTTAGTAATTATAATTATCCTGTGTGTATTTTTTTTTATTGTGACAACCAAACTAGTGAGCAATATTTCGTCTCTCCTTATCTCGTAACTTATGAACCTTTTCTTGATTCATGTAAATTATATTTACTGCATATTCAAAGAAAGCACTTAACGTATTATCTATGCAGAATTTTTCTTTTATCCATACTTTTGCAAATCTTTTACATGCCTCACACAAATGCCCTTGAACTACATACAAAACCCATTTGCATAATAAAAAAAAAATCTCTGCATACTGTCTTGTATCTATCATGCAAAAAATACATAATGTATTTTTTCAAATGAACATCAAGCCAGGTGTTTCACATTCTCTTTTTTTATGGAATAGCTTCACAAAAATGAAGGGCAACAACAACAAAAAAGTCAAAATTTCTTATTGAATAGTGTCCCAGTAATAGCACACATTCGAGAACGAACTGCAAGTGGCACTTACCCAAGCACTACAGAGTAATTAAAAGTATAATACTGCTGACAGACAGTAAGGAATGACATGAGTATCAACATGATTACTGAACCTGGAAGACTTACTATGCAGGTTTTGTTTTCATAGTATATACTGGCTCTGTAATGGAATATATTATACTGAGACTTTATATATTTTTTTTAATATGTTGGCCATCTCACCAAGGCAGGGTGACCCAAAAAAAGAAACACTTTCACAATCATTCATACTATCAAACATAGAGGAACATGCTTACATTATAAGCAATAAGTTTATTCCAGATTAGTGAAAAACAGGACTCATGAGGATTGACCAGAAGTCAATTTAGGATATTGTAATATCACATGTAGTGACAGTGCAATATTCTGCTGCTGTGTTAATTGTTGGAGAAATCCACATTACAAGAAAACTTATGCAAATTGCTTTAATTGGGGTTTGCCAATGCTCTATTACTTTAATTCTGTAATGTCGAATAACTGTACTAAATCAAGCATCAGGAAAGGAGTTTCATATGAGGATGAACAGGATGTTCCTTAGCAGTTGTAAGCAGAAGCAGAGCTTGTGAACAGAGCTGCATCTTGATTTTATTTGATATACAGTATTATTATATCCTAATATTTTTGTAAAGGTACTGGCTACGATAGAAATCAAGTTTCTACAGTGCCAGATAAGATGCTTATTTCCTTTTAAACTGATACTGAATACTGTATAAGACAATATGAAATACAGCAATTACAACTGGCAAAAACTTGACATCAAATTTTCCATTTTGTAATGCAAATTATAAACTGCACAGGATTGAATAAAATATTTAAGTAAGTATGGCAAGTTAAAGCAAGGATAAGAAATACAAGGTGAAGAAAATGAGCCATGAAGAAAAAAATAACAAGTAATGATATAATCATGTCTTATAAAATACTGTGGACATAGACAAGATGGACAAGCACAGGCTCTTCAAACAGGTAGAACAGGGTGTGGATGGAAGCTGCACTCTCAAATGAGCCACAAGGATATCCTGTATAAAAGTGTTAAGGAAATATGAATTTGACAATGACAGTTCAAATTAGGTATTTAATAACAAAACTGTGTCATAGAAGTTAGTTGTGTCATAGAGGTTAGTTGTAAGATTTACAACAGAGAAGCTACTAGCTTTGTGATCAGGGATTGTGACTCAATAGATACATTCTTGTTGCTATGAAGAACACTCAATATAAAAAGTAAAATATGAAATAATTGCAAATACTACCCATAGATTTCATTGTTATTGATCTTTCTGACTGATTCCTGTTTACTAGCATGGTTATTTGCTAATTTTGGCAGAGTCACATCAGCCATTGGACGTCTTGAATTAACAGTGGTGTGCAGTGTAGCTGTTGGGTTGAGGAGGGCCTCAGGAATCTTTGGAGATGTTACATAAGAGTTGGAATGGCTGGCACCTTGGTTGAAATTATGAGAATTAAAGCAGTGTGAAGGTTCAACCAGAGCACAGGCACCTTCAGGTGTTCCATCTGTGTCTTCCTGTGGATAATAAAACTAGTTAAAAACAAGCCTTTTCCTTCACAATGCTGTAATCTGCCTTATGAACATGTAAATTTAATCAATACCTTACATGTTATTCACAAATCTTGTCTTATAGATGTATTTTACAAGGTTACACATCTAAAAACAAATCTCTACTCACTTTTTTATTACTTTCTCATCTAATATATAATTCAAATATTTATCCTTGAACTTATTGTAATACAATACATAATAGTTTACTCAGTAAACTATTGTGTATTTTACTGCACTCATAATTTCAAAATTATGCTATTTTGCTAACCAATCAGTCTTTTTTTTTTTTTTTTTTTTTTCAACAAGTTGGTCGTCTCCCACCGAGGCAGGGTGACCCAAAAAAGAAAGAAAATCCCCAAAAAGAAAATACTTTCATCATCATTCAACACTTTCACCACACTCACACATTATCACTGCTTTTGCAGAGGTGCTCAGAATACAACAGTTTAGAAGCATGTACGTATAAAGATACACAACATATCCCTCCAAACTGCCAATATCCCAAAACCCCTCCTTTAAAGTGCAGGCATTGTACTTCCCATTTCCAGGACTCAAGTCCGACTATAAGAAAATAACCGGTTTCCCTGAATCCCTTCACTAAATATTACCCTGCTCACACTTCCAACAGATCGTCAGGTCCCAAGTATCATTCGTCTCCATTCACTCCTATCTAACACGCTCATGCACGCTTGCTGGAAGTCCAAGCCCCTCGCCCACAAAACCTCCTTTACCCCCTCTTTCCAACCCTTTCGAGGACGACCCCTACCCCTCTTTCCTTCCCCTATAGATTTATATGCTTTCCATGTCATTCTACTTTGATCCATTCTCTCTAAATGACCAAACCACCTCAACAACCCCTCTTCTGCCCTCTGACTAATGCTTTTATTAACTCCACACCTTCTCCTAATTTCCACACTCCGAATTTTCTGCATAATATTTACACCACACATTGCCCTTAGACAGGACATCTCCACTGCCTCCAACCGTCTCCTCGCTGCTGCATTTACCACCCAAGCTTCACATCCATATAAGAGTGTTGGTACTACTATACTTTCATACATTCCCTTCTTTGCCTCCATAGATAATGTTTTTTGACTCCACATATACCTCAACGCACCACTCACCTTTTTTCCCTCATCAATTCTATGATTAACCTCATCCTTCATAAATCCATCCGCCGACACGTCAACTCCCAAGTATCTGAAAACATTCACTTCTTCCATACTCCTCCTCCCCAATTTGATATCCAATTTTTCTTTATCTAAATCATTTGATACCCTCATCACCTTACTCTTTTCTATGTTCACTTTCAACTTTCTACCTTTACACACATTCTCAAACTCATCCACTAACCTTTGCAATTTTTCTTTAGAATCTCCCATAAGCACAGTCTTAATTATCACAATTTCAGGATCCTACAAAAAGATTCAACAATCACAGTCAAGCTCATCAAAACAGTTCTTGAAATGTTCTCACTGCCAGAAATTCATGAAATATATAGTGGCTTAACCTACCCTCACAGACTGAGGTTGCTGTCTTGATTCATGAAGAGTCAATGGTTGCTGTTCTGAATGAATATGGACTGGTCTGGCTGATGCTTCCAATACAGAGCCATTTTGAGAAGGTTGAGCAGTAGTACCAAGTGTGGAGTTATTTTGGGGAAACTCTGCTGAAATCTGTAATGTAGGGCCTTGTGCTGTTTCAGTGGAAGGTCTCGGAGCTCTCTTTGGTTCTTGTGAGTTCCTCCTTACTATGCCCCCAACTGGCTTTGTCTTTGAAAATATTTCTGTGGCTCGCCGCTCTGCATTAGTAAACAGCTTATGGTATTTCTCTGGCACTGCAAAAATTTAGAAATGATTAAATATTTATACAGAGAGTAAACAGAGTGCATGACATATATAAGCACAGTAGTACCCTGGCAAAAACTAAAATAAATTATTAATTATCAATGATAAAATACATAAATCTGTGTAAACAGAGTAAACCTTTAAAAAGAATACAAGCTGGGACAGAAATAAATTGTTAGCATAAGAGACTTAGGCAAATATGCTGTGTGTATTATTACATATAAATTCATCCCCAATGGAAATAAGTCACTTATTATAATATTAAGGTAAAAGGACCCCAATGGAAATAAGTCTGACTTTTTTGGGTTATCCTAGGTTTTCTACACATATGCTGCTATGTATGATAATTCTATGTAACTGTATTTGTGTATACCTGAATAAACTTACTTACTTACTTATCCCCACAAAAAGAAAACAGAAGTAAATTTGTAACTAAATCTTTAAAACAAATCTAAGAATTATATATTAGTGATATGCAAACCAACAAGTAGATGAATAAGACATAAGTAACACTTGGGTACAAGAAGGCACCACTTATACGGCAGGTTAGGTTCCAGGCTACCGCCGTAAAGCGGAAATCGCCGTAAAAGCAAATCACCTTTTTTTCACTTATAAATGTATATAAATGCTTAATAGCATATTTACACTATCATATACATGTATTAAGTTAGCAATAGAACTAGACAAAAAAAAATAAAGTAAAATGCACATAAAGTACAATCATTACTTGTGCTAAAATATTTGTAGTTTTAATGTAAGTGGAGAGGTGAGTAGTATTTATTGTAGGAAGTCAGGTGCAGTAGCCCGCCCAGCTACCACATTTCACAATTATGTTTATTTGTTTTACAATGATTGTATATATTATGTGTACAGTATATGATATGTAGCATATTTATTATATAATTTTGAAAAAAATGTCATAGATGGATTAATGAAAATGTCTATAACAACATAATATACAAAATTTAAAGCACCCCAGGGCAATTATTATTATGCTTATTGCCATTGACATACCTTGTTCACTAAGTTTCAAGATAGATTAATGAAAAATGTCTATAATACTGTAATATACAACATTTAAAGCGCCCCCAGAGCACTTATTATTATTATTATTATTATGCTTATTCCCATTGACGTACCTTGTTCATTAATTTTAATCCCTTTTAACTTGAAATTTAACCCTTTCAGTGTCCGTGCCATAGATCTACGGCTT